TTTTCAGAACTTCAGAAGACTTTTCGGGGCAGCTCTGACGGTGGGCCGTCACAGAGTGCCGGAAAATCCAACATAACCATGAAAGTCTTTGGAGGGTTTGGAATAAGTAGCCGGGGAAGAAGTACCAAAAGAAGCTGCATGTTAGTTCAATTATAACGTGAGGTTTGAGTGTCGTTGCCGTAATGCCATCTTCAGATGTTTCAGGTAAGTCTTTGTTATCTTTTTCATGTAGTGGTCTGAGGGGGTGAAAAAAGGAAAGAGGCTATGTATTTTGTGGACAAACTCATGTAATATGGCAGTGACTTCACTTTCTTTAAGGCTATCCACCTTTCACAAATACCAAAAAATTTATATCACTGAAATATTTGTTGAAATATTCAGTGAAATATTTTTACCGTTGAATTTTCCTTTAAAAATATGGTAATCTTTAAAAATATGATGCTGCTGAGATGGAGTAAGCTGCGGGTGGCTGCCATTGTTGTCCCTGGAGAGAGCATAGAAATGGTTTGAGAGGGATCTCGATCAGGCGGAGGAGATGGAGTGAGGTGCACCTGCAAAGTGGAGTGAGGTCGAATACATAATAAAAAGATATAAATATTTGTATTTTTTTTTAATAGAGAATTAAATTTATTCAATTCGCTTACAATAATTAAATATATTGTATAGATTTAAATATTGGTTCAAATTTTATTATAGACAGAAATATATTTATATTTGATATTATATTAATAAAATTTTGAATTCTAAATCGTATATTAAATTGTATATAATTGTTATTAACAAATAGAACATCTATCCTGTATATAATTGTTATTAACAAATAGAACATCTATGCTTACGGATCCGAATTGATACAAATTTTGAAAATAAAATATTATTTCTTATTCGAATTTCAATTTCATGACTATAACTTACAAATATCGAAATTGAATAATGAATATAACCGAAAAAAAAAAAAAAATTATTACAACTCGACTATTTGCTTCTTTTTTTTATTTCCTTTTTCCGAATTATTTTTGGGAGATGAAACTAATTATAGGTACAAATTTAATAGTACTTGGATATTCTATAGTTGATTTGTTTAGATCATGCCATAATCTTCATAAAGTTGAGGCACATATCCAATGTAAAAGCATCAACATTGGTTCCAGTAAAAAACACAATCAAAAGTTAGCAAACAAAACAACTCAAGCTGAATGACATGGTATCAAACAGCAAACATAAACTGATGCTAAGCTCAATCTGCTTCTATTCCAACTCACTCGAACCGAACCAAACACAACAAATCGACAATTGCTCATCCTATAACCAGACTAATTCATTAAGCTAAAACCTCGGCAACTAGCAAAAGAGCAACTGAAAAAGTTTAAACGATACACTTGAGCCGAGCAAAAGTCAAATAACCAGTATGCCCTCTCGCCTCACCGCTTCTTCTAGCCATGATCATCGGAGGTTTCGAATTTTCCAGTGTGTTTGCAGAGCGCTGCCTCTTCTTGGAACCCTTAAGAGTACCCAAACTCCCATCACTATCTTGCCAGCTTCCCAAGTTCCCTTCCCGAACTTCATATGTATGGAGAAGTGCTTCGAATGTTCTTATATCTGCAATTATAAAAAAAAAAAAACAAAAAATAGTATAACATATTCAGGAAAAGTGCAATATTTCCAAAATATCTACACGTATACATCCATTAACATGGTATTTTATCTATAATTTTCAACAATATATGGGCTTCATTATAATTTTTAAGTAGGCCAAACATCAGGATGGCTTCATGTAAGAATCTCTATATAGTGAATAGTAACTGCAAGATGAGATCTTCGAAGGAAGGTCTACCAGTGAAATGTAACGCCAATGTTTCGCAAGATTTTTGTACTTGCTCGATACAAGGAGAGAACTAGCACAAGACACCATCTTGTTGTAGCATTTTAGCACCAGAAGGAATGGCCGACCAAGGCTGAGGCAGGTCAAGGAAAATAGAATCTGCCTGTCCCGAAAATTCTTTGGGAAAACCCTCGCCCTGTATATCCCTTACAATGACCGTCACCAAACTACTCAATCCAGTCCTCTCAAAATCCTCCCTAAGAAAGAAAAAAAAAAAAAAAACATATGTCACTGGGTCATAAAGATCCAGGCACAGCCAAATCCATTTACTGCTTAGTTATCACATAAAACATGGAGTTCAGGTGCGGTCTAATAGAATGAAGAAAGTCGAACTGTACATCATTTAAACTACATGACAACAAAACAATATTGGATTCTCTCATATATATTAGCTCCATTTCGATCAAGGACGTGGTCATTGAAAAATCATTCTCTTTGTGTTGTCTCTTATCTGATTAACACATTCCCACTCACCTAACAGATCCAGAATACATGCTTTACCCAAAAAAAAAAAAAACACATACTTTAACAAAGAAACTGTAACCCGATTCAAAAGGTATGATATTTCACCGTATTTCTTCTAAAAGTATCATTTGACGGGTGAAAATCAGCCCGTCTAAGCAACTTTGGCCTAGACAAAAGATTTCTTGTAAAAAAATCATATGAAATGGGAATCTAGTAAAAGAAAATTATACAAGAGCCTTCAAACATTGAAACACAAATCAAACACAACTACAAAATCAATGAAACCGACAAGTATCTAGAAATCATTCACCAACAAAGCTTAAAACCAACAATGTCGATTGAGTAATCGGTAACTAATTTACTCCAGCTCAAACATATAATCAAGAACAAAACCAGCAAACATTGAATCAATCGACCATCAAACTGCAGAAAAGAAAATCCTCACCTGGCCAATGAAGCCCTCTGCTCATGAAAATCGAAGGTGTTCACGTGCCCGTTTGGCGCCACAGCACGAGCAAGGGAGGCCGTTAGGGACCCAATTCCGGTACCGGACTCGAGCACCACACAACCAGGGACGATTTCCAAATACATAACAACGAAGCTAATATCCGCAATGTACAAAATCTGAGTCCCGTGGCTCAAAACCAGGGTCCATAGCTCGGGGGTCGGAGCTAACAAGTAAACAAACCCACCTTTGCTGCTGAACACCTTCGAGCCGAACTGTTTCCCGATCCGATCACCATGCATGAACACGCCAAACCGATTTTGGAAAACCCCATCACCGGAAACTTTGACCGGCTTCATAATATCGTGCCTTTCGTATGGACGCGGTGGAAAGCTCAAAGGATAGGACTCGGCCAGGCCAGGCCCATGTGATCAGCCGCATGGTTAGCTTCCCTATGAACATGCTGGACCTTAACATTCCATTCTCGTTGGACTAGCCCCCGAATGGTCGTAACCAATGCTTCGTGGTGTCCATACCCACCTCTTTCCCCACAAACCATTTTATGCGCACAAAGGTTGTCAATCTCGACAATGACTTGTCGATAGCCTAACTCCCACACTAGTTCTTGACTATTTGGTGGAGCTTTTTTTATTAACTCCATTAGTCCATTAATTCCAAAAGTGTGTGTATAATTATATATAGAGGAATTATTCAAGCCCATCAAATTAATGAATTTTTTACTAAAAAAGAAAACCAAAAAATAAGTGGACAAAAAAAATGGAAAAAAAGGGGTGGACGAAAATAAAAAGCACGTATTCAACGAATACGTTTTCTAAATAAATTATTTAAAAACCGTATTCCTTGAATACGGTTTACATAAATTTCTTAATTAAGTAAATTAATCAACAGGAAAACGTATTTCTTAAATACGTTTTCATAATAATTTTGTTTTTTTGAATTGTTTTTAATATATAAAACGTATTTACAAAATACGTTTTATATTTTTTAATTTTTTTTGAATTTTTTAAAACATAAGAACGTATTTCATAAATACGTTTAATACTTCAATTTTTTTTTATTTTTTTAATCATGAAAACGTATTTCATAAATACGTTTAAAAATTCAATTTTTTATTTTATTTTTTTAATCATTAAAACGTATTTATGAAATACGTTTTAAATTTTTTTCATATTTTAAATTTAATTTAAAAGTATTTGTTAAATACGTTTTTAAAAGAAAAAAATTGAAAAAAAATTGGTAAAATCAAATTTACCCAAAAATCAAATATACATGTTCGAGCAACTAATATCAACATATCCGCCCAATAATAATCCAACATACACTATAACGAAACAAATGAAAAAACACAATAATTTGTTAAACAAACAATATATACAAAACGATATAATTCAGTTTGTACATACAATCCAACATTTGAAAATAAAACACAAAATCCACGAATTCATCACAACTAACTAATTAGGGGTGTATGGATTCGGAGGCCTGCGCTGTCTGGACCTCCTCCGAGCATATACAATTTGAGGTTGAGGTGTAAGAAGCGTGTCAGCTTGAAAAGCTTGGTCATCTTCTTCATCATCTGAGTAATTCAATTGGAAAAAAAAAATTATAAATTGGACTGGAAAAAAAATTGTTAATTTAAAAATCTCACCTTGTTGAGGCTCGGGCGGCTGAGGTATATCGTAGTCCTGGGCGGACTGCTGCTGAGGTGGGAAGGGCTGGGGCGACTGAGGTATGTAG